GGGGAGGGATGGGGAAATCCAGCAGAGGGACGGGGGTGGGAACTGCTGCTGGCGCCCACAGAGCTCACCCCGTGCCCACCATCTCCCACCCTGCCTGGGGCCCCCACTCTCCCTCTCACGCATACCTGCCTCTCCTCCCACCCCATGCCTGTCCCCTCGCCCCAGACTCTCTCTCTCTCTATCACACACACACACACATTTCCTTCCCCTGTGGTCTTGCCCCTCTGCACATCCCACCACACACACTCACCAGTGCCAAGCCTGAGTCCAGAGGGATGGGGCTGGGCTGGACCAAGCTGACATTTCTCCAAATGGGGCCCTTTCCCTGGGTCAGTTTGGAGCCAGCCACACGAAGCTGCAGAGTCAGTGCCATTGGGTGGAGTGGGGAGCTGAGTATAACTGGGCATTTGGTGGGAAAAGGGGATCTGGAGGTTCAGGACAGGCAGGGGCAGCAGCCCCTGACTCCAGGAGGAGTGGCAGGAGTGCTGGGCAGCACAAAGGCACCGGGGGCCAGTGGGGGACGTCCCCAGAGCTGGGGAGGGCGGCCATGGGGTGAGCTGGCCTGACGTGGAGAGCAAGCCCTGAACCAGCAGCAGCGACACCTCAAGGCACTCAGTGCCGCATCCCTCCACACCAGGGGCCCCAGAGCATCCAGGAGCCTCTGCTGGGAGGGCCCAGGCCACCGAGGGACGGCCTGGAGGACCAGGAGTCGTTGTCTTCCCTCTGTCCCAGGGTCTCCGGGCTGTGAAGGGTGGGAGAGGGTGCCCGGTGCCCACCGCCCAGCCCGGCCACCGGAGGTGGTCACCTCAGACCTCGGGGCCTCCAAAGGCCAGGTTGTCACGGACCATCAGTGTCTTGCGGAGGTCACGGTCCACCAGGGGGCGCTGCATGCGCCACTTGTGCGCCTCCTGCAGTCCTGGCTCGAAGTAGTAGATGCAGGCGCCGAAGCCCACCAGGATGAGGACGGAGATGACCAGGTAGACAGGCACGAACCAGTCCAGGAAGTGCGGCATCGCGGCGGCCTTGGCTGCCGAGACACAGGCGGTGAGAGCCGGCAGAGGTGCGCCTTGTCCTGCCTGCCTGCCCAGAGGGGGACCCGCTGGCCTCGCAGAGCCAGGAGGTCTGAGCATCACTTTATAGGTGGGAGGCCCAGGAGAGTGGGGAAAAGTACCTGATCAAGACCACATGGTGACTCAGCAGCTGTGCCCCCTGACCAAGCACAGAGCTGCCCCCACCACAGGGGGCCCACCCAGCTCCTACTCACCCTCTGAGATGGAGGCTTGTAGCTGAAAGCCCACCTGGCTCAGTCCCTCTCCAGCATGTGTGCCCTCAGGCAAGTTGCCTAACCTCTCTGGGCCTCGGGGTCGTCCCCTGTGGAAGGGGACACTAACAGAGCCTCTGTGCAAGTCCCAGCGGGGATTCAATGAGGTGACTGATCCCTCAGGGCACTCAGTAAAGGACAGCCTGGGCAATGCCTCCCCTGAGCCGCCCCTCCCGGCTCTGACTGCGCAGCTGCAGAGGCTGCCGTGGGCCAGGCCCTTCACAGATGAGTGGGTCCCCGGCCACCCGCACATCCTGGCCAGGTGTGGCTTAGTGAAAGCCTGATGAACAAACGCCCATCCCCAGGGGACATGGTTGATGTCAACAGGGTCCACACAGGCTCCCGAATTCAGGCCCACGCCCAATCTCATAATTATAAGAGTATGGACGCAGGCGCTAGCCCAAAAAACCTGGGCCTTGGTTTCCAAATCCGTAAAATGGGAATGAAAATAGTTCCTAGGTCTCAGGACTATTGTGACTGTGAAATGAGTAAATTTATGTAAAATGCTCAGAACCAGTGCCTGGCACATAATGAGTGCTACACAGCAGTTCGTTCTTATTCTCTGAGCCTCAGTTTCCTTATGTGTAAAATTGGGATAGAAATAGAACCCACTTCTCAAGGTCACTGTGAATGTTTAGCAAGACAGTACCTACAGAGCATTTAGCACAACACCACCTGGTACAGAATCAACGCTCAGTGAGTATTAACCATGGTTACTTCCGGTGAACGGGAGGCAGGGAGGCAGGAAAATGAAAGGTGCTTCACAAACCTGTACACACCCAGACTCCTCAGAATGGCCCCAAAGTGCCCACATCTGCTCTCTGCCAACCCCCTCAGCCTCATCTCCCACCCTATGTGCCATCATATGGAACTGCTTGTCAGTCACCTACGTGCACCTGCATAACATGCAGTCCCCATCTTTGTATATGCTTTCATTTTCCCTGGAATCTTTTTGCCTCCTGTTTGAGATCCCAGGTGTGGACCTACACGCCACTTGTCAAGCCATGCTGTGGGGGATCCCACATACAAAATAGAGAAGACTGGCACAGATGTTAGCTCAGGGACAATCTTCCTCACACACACACACAAAAGAATGCCTTCACAAACCTTACAACAGGCCTGTCCACATTTTACAGGTGAAGAAACAAAAGCCCAGATATGTTCACTAACTTGCCTGGGGTTACCCAGCTGGGTAGTGACAGAGCTGGACCCCAAACCCCAGCGATATCCTAAGGTTTGAGTCCTCCAGGGTGGGGAAAGACACCTGAGCAGAGTGAAATGAGCAGAGGCGCACCTTGGCTTCTGGGGAGGGGAGAAAGGGGATGGATGAAGTGACCTCCAGAGCAGGCTGAAGAGAAGCCCCAGCTTCTTGGACTTCTGTCTCGAAACTCCCATTCCTCTGTCCCCCCACTTCCAGGTGGGTCTGCGAGGTGGGCTGTGACCCAGGGAAGGGAGAGATGCTACCTCTCAGTCCTGCATCCATCCAGAGCCCCTCCCCTGCCCCCCAGGCTCCCCACTGGCTGTTCTGAAGGACACACAATGTCTCAAGTGCCCTATTGATGGAGGAATAAAATGAAGAGTGTGCTAATGGCCCAAAGTCAGGGCTGGCACAGCGCCCTCCTGCCCCGCTGCCTTTCTGGAGCACCAAAGACAGAGTTCAGATTTGCCTGGTGCTGCCTGGGTTGGGGGAGGTGGGGAAGGGGACCCCAAGCGGGGAGGCTGCTGCAAACTAGCCTGACTGAAGCCAAGGTGATTTGTGCTTCCTCCCCTGGCCCCAAGCAGGGCCCCAGTCTCCTTGCAACTTAAACCTGAGAATGTGGTACTCAGGCTGAGCAGAAGCCATTTCAGCTGCAAAGCTGTGGATCTGTGGAGCAGAGTTCAGGGTCTCCCATCATCTCCAGCCCTGTGAACAAAACTCCAGGCATTCTAGGGCAGACTGAGGACCCCCTAGACCTTTTCCAGGCTCCTCAGGGGACTGGCTAGCTGAAACAAAACACTCACAGGCCTTCTATGTGACCATGGGCCACTTCTCACCCTCTCTGGACTTCAAGGTTCCCCATGCACAGTGACAGGTTGGGGTGGCAGTTACCAGATGATCTATAAGGAATTTTTCAGCCCCATTCCAGCCAAGGTCCTGTCCGGGACAGTGTGAGGGTTGCAGAGCCTCCTCCCGGCCTCCCAAGCCATTGGCACCACTCGGTGGCCCCCCGCGTGCCCGCAAACCCACCTCGCGGCCTGCAGATGTCTGTTCCGGGAGCTCTGTGCTGAGCACACCACCTTGGCCTGGGCAGCTCAGCGTCGGCCCGAGGACTCAGTCGCAGCTGCTGTCCCCAGAGACACTGCCATCTGCAGCCGCCCTGGGTGCTAGAGGCAGAGAAAGGGCAAAGCGATGCCCCTTACAAGAGTCAGAGCTTCTCAGGCCCAGGGGCTCTGACTGGGCCAGGAAGAGGCCGTCCTGGGCTGGCTTGGCACCTTGGTACCTCTCCCTGCCCATACGAAGAGACCCTTTCTTCTGCCCCCCACCCTCAGGATGGCAGGAGGAGGGACCTCTCTCAGCCAATCAGCAACCTGGCAGAGCAACGGCTTTATCCTCTGTTGCCCTGGCAACCGGCCTTCTCTTCTGCATCCCTTGCACTGTGCATGTGGTACAGAGATGACAGACAGGGCAGGGTTGGCGGAATTTGGAGAGGGACGGGAGGCACCCAGCAGGCCGCTGGGCCCCAGAGGTGGTGGGCCTGGAGAGGAGAGTTTCCTGGCGGAGATAACTGGGAGGGTTCAGAGGCTTGCCATTGGAAGGTAGGGAGAAATTGGGGTCCCTTGCAAGTGGGTGGGGACACAGAAGCAGTGACCAATAGAGTCAATGAGGGTCATATATATATATGAAGTTATAAAGAGAAGAACCAAGACTGAGACTGAGAGTCTGGACACATTGGTCCAGTGTAGCATTTACCATGTGCCAGACTCTGCTTTCAGTGCTTTATTTACACTAACTCATTTACTTGTCGTCGAAGGTCACAGAGCAAGAAAGTTGCAAGGCCAGGGTTGGAGCCCTAGCCTGGCCTTCAGGCCCCCGTGCAGGGGCTGCCCCTCCCAGTTCTGCCTCACCAGCCCTGCAGCCCCCCTGGCTGGGATATGGCCTGGGATAGTTGTGGCTCCCAGGCACTGAGCACCCCAATTGCCAGGCGTGGCCCCCACATCACTTCATCCAGTCCCGCAGCTGGGTTGGTATTGATAGCCCACTGTGGGATGAGGCAGCTATGGTTCAGAGAGGTGAAGCTGCTTACCCTCTCCTTCTAGGTCACTCACCTTCTCAGTGACAAAGCCAGGGAGTCGGTGTGGGGGCAGAGGGGACCACCTCCTAAGCCTGGTCCTCCCTCCTGTTCTATAGACAGGGTGTCAGGCACCTAGTGAGCACGCCATACACAGCAGTGGTCATTGTCTCAGGAGGAGAGAGCAGCCCTGGAGGCCCAGGGGCAGGAAAGAGGCTTCAAGGAACCGCCTCCCCAGGGAGTCCATTCCCAGAAACCTGAGGACAGGCAGGTGGGTGAGATGGTTTCAGGACACTGGGTCCCCCACCCCTAGACACCCTGCCAACTCTGGGACCATCTGGGCCCCTACAAAAATGGGGGTCCTCTCCAGCATATATGGGGCAAGGGGAGTGAGTTTGAATTCACAGAGGGATTTTTATTGAGAAATAAGGTACATGCAGTAAAATACAAACCTTAACTGATAATTTTTACCTATATATACACCTGTGCAACCACCACGCAGATCAATGTCTAGAATACGTCCATCACCCCAGACAATTCCCTCCTGCCTCGTGCCGGTCACCCCCTTCCCACTGATCTGATTTCTATCACTATGGATTAGTTTTGCCTGTATTTGGACTTCATATAAATGGAGTCATACAGTACGCACTCTTTTGTGTCTGGCTTCTGTTGCTCAGCTCGATGCTTTTGCTATTCGGATGGCGTTGCAGGTATCAGCACACCACAACTTGTGTATCTGTTCACCACTGAGGGATGTTTGGATTGTTTCCAGTGTGGGACTATTGTGAGCAAAGCTGCCTAAGTGCTTTTCAATAGTTTGGAGTGGGAAGACAGAGAGGGGTCAGGGGAGGGATGACAAAGAGGCATGGAGAAACTTCTGGGGGTAAAGGATATGTTCATTATCATGATTGTGGTGTGAATTCAGGGTCTGCTTAAACATCACCTTCTTAGAGGGGCCTCCCCTGACCTAAAGGAGCTTCTTCCTACCCATCTCTATTCATCCCCACCCGTCTTAGTTCATCTTCACAGCACTCACTGCTCCCTGACTTTCAGGGACCCCCTCCACACCTCATACTGTGGGGAATCCAAAGCCCCATCTGTGCTGGGGCAGGGGCTCCATGAAGCTATTTACTTCCAGCTCTTTCTAAGCAAGATATTATGAGTTTAGTCTGCAGTGGGAAGGATTTAGCTTAGACAAGGAGCATGCCTCTGTTCTCCCAGTTGTCACAGCACTGAACACAGTGTGATCACTGTCTGACTCCCCCATTACACTGAGTTGATCAATGATGTCTGATTCATCCATGTTCTCAGGGTGGGGCATTGGGTTTTCGGTAGGAAATGATGAAAGAATCACTACTGAGAATGTATGAATGGATTAGATCAATCCATTCATTCAACAAATATTTATTGAGCCACTACCATGCAGCAGGTACTTTTTAAAGTGCTGGACATACAAACTGACAAGTCTCTGCCCTCATGTATCTTGTGCTCTAGTTGGAGAGACAGACAATGAGCAAGTAATTACTTAACTGTTGGGAGAAGCAGTCTGCCTTGGGCCCTGAGCGTCATCCCTGCAGGTTCTTGCTAGGTATGCCAAGAAAGCAAGGTCCTGAAAGCTCTTTACCCCAGGGCCATGTCTCAGGGTTGTGTTTGCAGCAAGTAACCTTGCAGGATGGAGTAACATCTCCGTGTCTCAGGGTTGTGTTTGCAGCAAGTAACCTTGCAGGATGGAGTAACATCTCGCCCCACGTGGACAAAGAACAGGTATTCCTACCACTCACTATGAAAGCAGTGAATCTCTAATCTCTGTGTTCCTCTCCTGTAACGCCATCCATGGGGTGTACGGGCATCCATGATGGGTCCTTTGCGGGACTTGGGGGACATGGGGAACTGACACAAACACACATGAAGCCCTGGCTACTGCTTTCACCATGAGTAACAAAGTCCTTTGTCTCTGACACAGGAGCTTCATGTCTTCTGCCAGCATCTATGAAATAGTAACCAACTATTACTTTATAGTTTATTACTTTATTACTTTATTAGTAACAGTTCATTACTTTATTAGTAACAGTTATTTAGTAACAGTTTATTAGTTTGTAAGTACAGTAAAATCTCAGAGGCTGCACAGTTATTGATGATATGTGAAACGGAGATTACTGCTACTGAGCAAATAGAGCAGAAAAAGGGAAACAGGGAAACAGGGAGTGTGTGGCACGAGGGCTTGATATTTTAGACAGTGTCGTTAAGAAAACCCCCTCCGATAAGGTGACATTGGAGCAGAAGCACAAATTAAGTGAGGAAACAAGCCATAAGACTACTTGGGAGAACAGCATTTCAGCCAGAGAGAACTGCAGGGGCAAAGGTCCTGAGGTCAGAGGATACTTGGACTATTTAGGAACAGCCTAGGGGCCCTCATGGCTAGAGGGGTGTTGGAGGGAGAAGAGCAGAAGATGAGCCCAGGGAGATTGTCAGGAGCCAGAACACACAGAGTCTCAAAGGCCACGGAAGGCGTTTGCAATGGACTCTGAGTAAGACGGGAACTCTGGTGGGTTTGATCAGAGAAGTGGCCTTCTCTGACTTCTGTTTTAAAAGGATGAATCTTATTTCTGTGTAGTAAATAGTGGCAGCCCTGAGGACCAGGTGGAAGCAGGGAGTCAGTGAAAAGGCTGTGACAACAGTCCCGGTGAGAGATGACAGTGGCTTGTCCTGATAGTGGAACGGAGGTGGTGAGAAGTGGTCAGCTTCTGGATGCATTTTAAAACCCACAGGCTTGCTTACGGATTGTATGTGTGGTATGAAGAAGACAAGCCAAGGATGATCCCAAGGTTTTGTTCTGAGCAGCTGCAAGGATGGAGTCAACTGAGATGGAGAAGACGCGGGACGGGCAGGTTTGGAAGGAATCAAGAATATGGCGAATGAGCATGAGTGAACGAAAATGAACGCAGGAATCACTGAATATTTTCTTTCTCCGAGACATGAAATAAAAGGCCTGTCCCATGGGCAGCACCTTAAGTGCCTGGGGCCGGCGCTGGAATTCTCCCTCAGAAAATGAGGTAGCGGTTCCTTTAAGAGGGCCCCGCCCCACTCCACGAAGCCCCGCCCAAAGAGGGTCACGTGCCCCTCGGTCGCGCACTAGGGGCGGGCGTCGGGGCGGTTTGAAAGCCGGGCGCGCACCACAAGAGCGGCGGTTCGGCCTGCGACTGGGATGTCGGTGTTGCGGCCCCTGGACAAGCTGCCTGGCCTGAACACGGCCACCATCTTGGTGAGCGTCAGCAGCCCCGCTACCCCGGCCCGCCCCTCTTCCTCCGCAATGCCTCAGCCGCGCGGTCGTCTGCGCGCTCTGAGGTGCTGGCGCGGGCTATTCCGGCAGGGGAGTGGTGGGCGGGAGAGCCGCGCTGTCAGCCAATCGGAGTAGGCGCTCTCTCAGGCTAAGAGACGCCCCCACCAATAGGTGCGCGGCGGGCTCTTTCCTGGTTCCTGATTGGTGGGTGGCTGAGCGGGGAGGCCGCGGGCGGGGAGCGTGCAGGGTGGCTGAGGTGGGCGCCGGGCGGGCACTTGGTTTCCTCCGGTCGCAGGGTCTGACCTCCCGGAGAAGCCAGGCCGTCCGAGGGAGGGTCCGGGAAGGTAGTAATTGCTGGGCAGACGGGCCCCGAGCGGGTGCAGACCTCGGGCGTCAGCCCGTGCCTGGCGGGAGCCGGAGCCAGAGTCCTGGGTGTCGCGGCTGCCCTGGGCTGGTGCCTGATCCCAGGCCTCGGGCGGGACCGCGGTGCCCAGTATCAGTCGGCCTCCTCCTCTCTCTGGGCAGCTGGTGGGCACGGAGGATGCTCTGCTGCAGCAGCTGGCCGATGCGATGCTCAAGGAGGACTGCGCCTCCGAGCTGAAGGTGTAAGTAGCGGAGGCTGGGGTGTCCGATCGCGCGGCTGTGGCCCGAACGCGGGTCTGGGCGTGAAGGAGAGCGGAGGGGCCGCCCGAGAGGCCAGCCCCTCGGGGTGTCCATCCTAGCGCGGTCGGTCCTCCCCAACCCTGCCGGCGGCGTCTGGTGGGTGGCTCCTTCACGTCTTCTTCACGTGTCAGCTCCTCATCCTAGGCATCCTCCTGCTCCCTCTGTCACACACTTGTTCAGTCTTCCTCTAGCGCTTGTCACCATAAGAAATGTCCTTGTTCACCTGTTTGCTTGTTTCCAGTCCCGTCCCCTTGAGGGCAGGGACTTTGACTTTTGTTCTCGGGCGAATCCCCAGTGCTTTGAGCAGTGCCTGGCACAGAGTAGATG